CCACACACTCATAGAAGAGACTTCTGGTGTCATCTGTTTGCCAGGGTTGTAGTGGCAATTGGGACCTAATTCTGTTTGTAATGAGGTGAGCACTTGTGTCCAGGGAGGATAAAAGTGAGCTGTTGTAGACATAAATGTTGAGGTTAGGACAGGGCATAGTGAAATTTTGCTGCAGAGGTAGATGTCAGAGACAGAACAGAGATGAAAAGCATTAAATGGTGAAGGTTTCTAGAGGTAACTGGTAGTTGGTTTGGAGGGATAGGGGTTTGAAGACAGGGAGAGTGTAAAAATGATAAGGCTGTGATCAGAGAAAGGAAAGCAGAAGCAGAAGAACAGGTCAAGAGTGTTCCTTTCAGAGTGAGTAGAAGAATATGTCCAGAAGAATATGTCCATTGTATTAGGTCAAAAGATGAGGTTAGATTGAAAAGCTAAGAAGTAGTTGAAATGCTCACATTAAAGTCACAAAGGAAGTATCTCAAATGAGAGAAAGTAGGGCAGACAGGCAAATAAGTAATCAAGTAAGCTTTACACCAGTCTAGGAGGCTGAAAAATAATAGCAATCCTCAGAGAAACTGGAGAAAAAAAAAGGGAAAATATAATTTGCTTCAAAAGATGAGTGGGATAGAGAGGTAGGGGCTGGGAAGAGGGTCAACTGGTAATCCCACCATTGTTTGGTAATCTGAGTCAATTTCACAACTAACAGACACTGTGAGCCTTGATAAGGTTGGCATGTTTGTGCCGCTGACTACTCTTGTGGAATTTTATTGGACTATTTTAATGCAATATATATTTTGGACACTTTAGGTGAGGTGTTCCTACTTTCCCTTCTTCTTTCAATCTGAAGGGCCCCCAAGACATACAGTATGTATATGTAAGCTACCTCCTCAATTCAAATACATAACACATTTTAGATTCCAAATCACTCAAATCATTAATTAACTTACTCCAAGGATACTTACTCCTGTTTTAGCTTCATATAGCATCTTGGCGGGCTAGCTGTTAGCAACCTAATATCCTGTCATCTCTGCCATTTGTAAATGAACAGCACTTAAGACTGGGGTCAGAAGATTGACTGACTTTTTTTTTTTTTAGCTTGGATGATTCTTGTTTCACTGTATCACCTTTGGTATCAATCCCAAGAATTGATGGTGTGAAGCTAGAGATGGTTGATAATGAATTTTCACAACACTCACAGTACTCACAACACAAAAGTACAGCCAAATATTTCATACACATGCAGTATATGTTTATTAATTATTTTATTATTTATCTTCTGTTGGTGGTTGACAGTTACTGATCATGTTTTGTATTTCCCAGCAGAAATAACTGCTTATTTTTCTAAACATTCCCGTTCCTCAATGTGTTACAAAAAGTCATCAAGCCAATTTATTTCTGCCAAGCTCCTGTTATTGGTGACCATAGCTTTTTTTACCGCTTCTTTGCTTTTCCAATCCAAGGATTTGTTATAGGACCCGGCAGCATCCACTCTTAAAGAAAAAAAGCTCCTATCATGTTTGCATTTGCACCTGTAAATTTTACCACTACAGAAACCCCTTGAGGGTTTGAATGTCTCACTGGTTTCAGCACGGACTGGTGAAACTACAGGCAGATCAAATTATTAATTCATCACCATTTTCTAGTCTTTGAAGTTGTGCAGGATGATGAAATGGGAAAATATTTAGCTCATCTCCTTCTCAGATCCTCAAAGGTTCTAGCTGTAGTGCCTTTACAGTAAAGCAGGCCATAGATGAGTCAGTTCTTTTCATGTAACTACGGGGTTAAAACAAAAAAAAAAAAACTCACTTGATTCCCTCATCCACACACTCGAGATGAATTGGGGAATCCTCCGCTCTGAGACATTGTATGCTGACAGTAGTGAGACTTCCTTACAGTCAGAATATACTGATCAGGGCTTCCTGCTATAGCAAATGGTGCTGATTGAGGGAAATCTAACAGGGTATTTGTATAAAAGTCAATCGGTAGATCAACTTCTGTAAACCTCCCTGGCCATACATGGATCAAAATTCAAAGGGTCCCTGCTAAACCGAATTTCGATCTATGTATGGCTGGCTTATGTAAAATATACACTGCTGGAAGAAGCGGTGGAAGCAACATGAAATTTAAGCAAACATAAATTGAGGGAGCTGAACAAAAATCTGGAAGGTGGTCGGGAGTTGGATTTGAAATAAGGATGAAAAAATGAGAGCACTGATAAAAGAACAAAAGTGCATAATGAAGGGCACTGCACATGTTTTAATCCCAAACCTGATTGTACCTGGTAATCTACAACTGAATTAAACGTAAGCCCTGTACGCATGGTGAGAATATTGGACAAATGATTGTCCATTTTTTTTGCATGTTAGTTTCATATTGAAAATGAAGAGATTACTAAAGTTATGAAAATTCTTGTATGATAGAATACAACTTTGGAAGTGAAGTAATGTACTGTATTGCAATGTATTCTTTTGTTTCTGAGTATGCGTGGTCATTAGAGATGAGCGAAGTATTCAAAAATTCGATTCGGCTGATTCGGCGAATTCGCGGAATAAATTCGATTCGAGTCGAATATATTCACTGCGAATTTAACTTATAAAAAGGGTGTTTTCTAGGCTTCAGAGAGCCTTTATATTAGTGCAGAACACTGTACCTTTAATTTAAATGCCCTTGGAGTCTGCTGGGGAAGAGAAATAATACTGTCAGTCAGTATGACATGCAGATGAGTGCCGTCGATCTTAGAATCACCGCACACTTCACTCATTTGGGCAGTCACGGGGCCAAAACCAGAGTGTGGAGCCACAGTGTGGCGGTGGAGGCAGCAGCAATGGGAGGCCATACAGCACCCTATGACAAAATGGAACCCACCAGCAGTGTGAGGAGACCTGAAAGTGGCACATGGTAGAGTGTGGCGATGGAGACAGCAGCAATGGGAGGCCGTACAGGGACCCATGACACACTGTGAACCTGGCAGCAGCATGAGGAGGCGGTACGGGGGCCCATGGCAGATTACGGGCCTGGCAGCAGCAATGGGAGGCCCGTAATCTGCCAGCACCCTATGACAAAATGGAACCCACCAGCAGTGTGAGGAGACCTGAAAGTGGCACACGGCAGAGTGTGGCGATAGAGACAGCAGCAATGGAGGCCGTACAGGGACCCATGACACACTCTGGACCTGGCAGCAGCATGAGGAGGCGTACAGGGGCCCATGACAGATTACGGGCCTGGCAGCAGCAATGGGAGGCCCGTAATCTGCCAGCACCCTATGACAAAATGGAACCCACCAGCAGTGTGAGGAGACCTGAAAGTGGCACATGGCAGAGTGTGGCGATGGAGACAGCAGCAATGGGAGGCCGTACAGGGACCCATGAGACACTCTGGACCTGGCAGCAGCATGAGGAGGCGGTACGGGGGCCCATGGCGATTACGGGCCTGGCAGCAGCAATGGGAGGCCCGTAATCTGCCAGCACCCTATGACAAAATGGAACCCACCAGCAGTGTGAGGAGACCTGAAAGTGGCACATGGCAGAGTGTGGCGATGGAGACAGCAGCAATGGGAGGCCGTACAGGGACCCATGACAGATTACGGGCCTGGCAGCAGCATGAGGAGGCGGTACAGGGGCCCATGACAGATTACGGGCCTGGCAGCAGCAATGGGAGGCCCGTAATCTGCCAGCACCCTATGACAAAATGGAACCCACCAGCAGTGTGAGGAGACCTGAAAGTGGCACATGGCAGAGTGTGGCGATGGAGACAGCAGCAATGGAAGGCCGTACAGGACCCATGAGACACTCTGGACCTGGCAGCAGCATGAGGAGGCGGTATGGGGGCCCATGGCAGATTACGGGCCTGGCAGCAGCAATGGGAGGCCCGTAATCTGCCAGCACCCTATGACAAAATGGAACCCACCAGCAGTGTGAGGAGACCTGAAAGTGGCACATGGCAGAGTGTGGCGATGGAGACAGCAGCAATGGGAGGCCGTACAGGGACCCATGACACACTCTGGACCTGGCAGCAGCATGAGGAGGCGGTACGGGGGCCCATGGCAGATTATGGGCCTGGCAGCAGCAATGGGAGGCCCGTAATCTGCCAGCACCCTATGACAAAATGAAACCCACCAGCAGTTGTGAGGAGACCTGAAAGTGGCACATGGCAGAGTGTGGCGATGGAGACATGGGCCCCCTGGCCACGCTTGACTTTCTGGCCACATAGTCGACATACGGCTACGTTACTTCCATCGGGCGGCTTTGACGAAAAATTGCCACACCGCCGAGTAGGAAACTTTGCCCCCGCTACACCTCACTGGCTGACTGCTACTTCCTCCGTGCACACTGGCACCACTACTGGCCCTGGTGGTAGGCTGCAGTGGAGCTGGTGCTCTACTCCGTGGCCGTTTGCCTCCACTGACACTGCTGCGACCCTGCTGCCTCCTGAGCAACCCACCGACTGTTTTGCTCGCTGCCAAGCTGGCACCCTCTTCTTCCTGATGATGCGGAAGCAATAGCCTGAATGACGACGAGGCTGCCAAGTGCGATCACCTCATCATCATCAATTAGGGTCTCCGCCTCACTACTAGCCCCCTCGACTGCGTGTGGGTCAGGAGACAGACCTGTCTCTAGACGGCTACCGAGCCACTCTCCTCGCCACTACTTCTTCGCCTGGCTGCTGAAGAGGCGGATGTCTCCCCCCGTTCCTGACCGCCCTCTGTTAGCTCTTCCTCACTGTACAGTGGGGCTGAGCCCACAGCATGTGATACTTCGCTTGGTGAGAGGAACACCAAAGGACAGGGGCAGGTAGAGGACACGTGATTTCAGTGGGCTTGCTCCCGGGCCATGCCAACTAACGGTTGTGTCTGACGTACCCACCGACCGTTGGCTGTAGGTGTCAGAGGTGACCTGGGAAGAGGAAGACGACCGAGCCAACCAAATCGATGACGGCAGGGTTGTCGGTGGAGACACGACCGCTGGATGACACCGGGGGAGCACTGGCCTCTGGCTGCGACTAGTGCTGCCTCGACCCCTTCCTCTGCTGCCACGTCTGCTCGCTCCTGAAACATTGCCTGCTCTGCCACTCCTCTGCGTGTTGTCTGACATACTCTTTAATTCAACGATTCTGTGTCCATGAGTAACGATTCTGTGTCCCTGAGTAACAATTCTGTGTCTGAACCTGAGTAACAGTTCTGTGTCCCTGAGTAACAGTTCTGTGTCCCTGAGTAACAATTCTGTGTCCCTGAGTAACAGTTCTGTGTCCCTGAGTAACAATTCTGTGTCCCTCAGTAACAATTCTGTGTCCCTCAGTAACAATTCTGTGTCTGTCCCTGAGTAACATTTCTGTGTCCCTGAGTAACATTTCTGTGTCCCTGAGTAACATTTCTGTGTCCCTGAGTAACAATTCTGTGTCCTGAGTAACAGTTCTGTGTCCCTGAGTAACAGTTCTGTGTCCCTCAGTAACAATTCTGTGTCCCCTCAGTAACAATTCTGTGTCCCTCAGTAACAATTCTGTGTCCCTCAGTAACAAATCTGTGTCTGTCCCTGAGTAACAATTCTGTGTCCCCTCAGTAACAATTCTGTGTCCCTCAGTAACAATTCTGTGTCTGACCCTGAGTAACAATTCTGTGTCCCTGAGTAACAGTTCTGTGTCCCTGAGTAAACAATTCTGTGTCCCTGAGTAACATTCTGTGTCCCTCAGTAACAATTCTGTGTCCCTCAGTAACAATTCTGTGTCCCTCAGTAACAATTCTGTGTCCCTCAGTAACAATTCTGTGTCCCTGAGTAACAGTTCTGTGTCCCTGAGTAACAATTCTGTGTCCCTCAGTAACAGTTCTGTGTCCCTGAGTAACAATTCTGTGTCGCTCAGTAACAATTCTGTGTCCCTCAGTAACAATTTCTGTGTCCCCAGTAACAATTCTGTGTCTGTCCCTGAGTAACAATTCTGTGTCCCTCAGTAACAATTCTGTGTCCCTCAGTAACAATTCAAGGTGTCTGTCCCTCAGTAACAATTCTGTGTCCTCAGTAACAATTCTGTGTCCTGAGTAACAATTCCCTGTGTCCCTCAGTAACAATTCTGTGTCTGTCCCTGAGTAACAATTCTGTGTCCCTCAGTAACAATTCTGTGTCCCTCAGTAACAATTCTGTGTCTGTCCCTGAGTAACAGTTCTGTGTCCCTGAGTAACAATTCTGTGTCCCTCAGTAACAATTCTGAGTCCCTCAGTAACTATTCTGTGTCCCTCAGTAACAATTCTGTGTCCCTCAGTAACAATTCTGTGTCCCTCAATAACAATTCTGTGTCTGTCCCTGAGTAACAATTCTGTGTCCCTGAGTAAACAGTTCTGTGTCCCTGAGGGTAACAATTCTGTGTCCCTGAGTAACAGTTCTGTGTGCCCTGAGTAACAGTTCTGTGTCCCTGAGTAACAATTCTGTGTCCCTCAGTAACAATTCTGTGTCCCTCAGTAACAATTCTGTGTCCCTCAGTAACAATTCTGTGTCCCTCAATAACAATTCTGTGTCTGTCCCTGAGTAACAATTCTGTGTCCCTGAGTAACAGTTCTGTGTCCCTGAGATAACAATTCTGTGTCCCTGAGTAACAGTTCTGTGTCCCTGAGTAACAATTCTGTGTCCCTCAGTAACAATTCTGTGTCCCTCAGTAACAATTCTGTGTCCCTCAGTAACAATTCTGTGTCTGTCCCTGAGTAACAATTCTGTGTCCCTGAGTAACAGTTCTGTGTCCCTGAGTAACAATTCTGTGTCCCTCAGTAACAATTCTGTGTCCCTCAGTAACAATTCTGTGTCCCTCAGTAACAATTCTGTGTCCCTCAGTAACAATTCTGTGTCTGTCCCTGAGTAACAATTCTGTGTCCCTGAGTAACAGTTCTGTGTCCCTGAGTAACAATTCTGTATTCAGTAAACAATTCTGTGTCCCTCAGTAACAATTCTGTGTCCTCAGTAACAATTCCTGTCCCTGAGTAACAATTCTGTGTCCCTCAGTAACAATTCTGTGTCCCTCAGTAACAATTCTGTGTCCCTCAGTAACAATTCTGTGTCCCTCAGTAACAATTGTGTCTGTCCCTCAGTAACAATTCTGTGTCCCTCAGTAACAATTCTGTGTCCCCTCAGTAACAATTCTGTGTCCCTGAGTAACAATTCTGTGTCCCTCAGTAACAATTCTGTGTCTGTCCCTGAGTAAAAATTCTGTGTCCCTCAGTAACAATTCTGTGTCCCTCAGTAACAATTCTGTGTCTGTCCCTGTAACAGTTCTGTGTCCCTGAGTAACAGTTCTGTGTCCCTGAGAGTAACAATTCTGTGTCCCTCAGTAACTATTCTGTGTCCCTCAGTAACAATTCTGTGTCCCCTCAGTAACAATTCTGTGTCCTCAATAACAATTCTGTGTCTGTCCCTGAGTAACAGTTCTGTGTCCCTGAGTAACAGTTCTGTGTCCCTGAGTAAAGTTCTGTGTCCCCTGAGTAACAAGTTCTGTGTCCTGAGTAACAATTTCTGTCCTCAGTCCCTCAGTAACAATTCTGTGTCCCTCAGTAACAATTCTGTGTCCCTCAGTAACAATTCTGTGTCCCTCAATAACAAATTCTGTGTCCCCTGAATAACAATTCTGTGTTCCCTGAGTCAAACAGTTCTGTCCCTGAGTAAAAATTCTGTGTCCCTGAGTACAGTTCTGTGTCCCTGAGTAACAATTCTGTGTCCCTGAGTAACAATTCTGTGTCCTCAGTAACAATTCTGTGTCCCTGAGTAACAATTCTGTGTCCCTCAGTAACAATTCTGTGTCTGTCCTCAGTAACAATTCTGTGTCCCTCAGTAACAATTCTGTGTCCCTCAGTAAACAATTCTGTGTCTGTCCCTGAGTAACAATTCTGTGTCCCTCAGTAACAATTCTGTGTCCCTCAGTAACAATTCTGTGTCTGTCCCTGAGTAACAATTCTGTGTCCCTGAGTAACAATTCTGTGTCCCTGAGTAACAATTTCTGTGTCTGTCCCTCAGTAAAATTCTGTGTCCCTGAGTAACAATTCTGTGTCCCTCAGTAACAATTCTGTGTCCCTCAGTAACAATTCTGTGTCCCTCAGTAACAATTCTGTGTCCCTCAGTAACAATTCTGTGTCTGTCCCTGAGTAACAATTCTGTGTCCCTCAGTAACAATTCTGTGTTCCCTCAGTAAACAATTCTGTGTCTGTCCCTGAGTAACAATTCTGTGTCCCTGAGTAACAATTCTGTGTCCCTCAGTAACAATTCTGTGTCTGTCCCTGAGTAACAATTCTGTGTCCCTGAGTAACAGATTCTGTGTCCCTGAGTAACAATTCTGTGTCCCTGAGTAACAATTCTGTTGTCCCCTGAGTAACAAATTCTGTGTCCCTGAGTAAACAATTCTGTGTCTCAGTAACAATTCTGTGTCAGTAACAATTCTGTGTCTGTCCCTGTGTAACAATTCTGTGTCCCCTGAGTAACAGTTCTGTGTCCCCTGAGTAACAATTCTGTTGTCCTGAGTAACAGTTCTGTGTCCTCAGTAACAATTCTGTGTCTCTCAGTAACAATTGCTGTGTCCCTCAGTAACAATTCTGTGTCCTCAGTAACATTTCTGTGTCCTCAGTAACAATTCTGTGTCTGTCCCTGAGTAACAATTCTGTGTCCTGAGTAACAGTTCTGTGTCTGAGTAACAGTCTGTGTCCCTGAGGTGTTCTGTGTCCCTGAGTAAACAGTTCTGTGTCCCTGAGTAACAATTCTGTGTCCTCAGTAACATTCTGTGTCCCTCAGTAACAATTCTGTGTCTGTCCCTCAGTAACAATTCTGTGTCCCTGAGTAACAATTCTGTGTCCCTGAGTAACATTTCTGTGTCCCTGAGTAACAATTCTGTGTCCCTCAGTAACAATTCTGTGTCCCTCAGTAACAAGTTCTGTGTCCCTCAGTAACAATTCTGTGTCCCCTCAGTAACAATTCTGTGTCCCTGAGTAACAATTCTGTGTCCCACAGTAACAATTCTGAGTAACAGTTCTGTGTCCCTCAGTAACAATTCTGTGTCTGTCCCTGAGTAACAATTCTGTGTCCGTGTCCCTCAGTAACATTTCTGTGTCCCTGATAACAATTCTGTGTCCCTCAGTAACAATTCTGTGTCCCTCAGTAACAATTCTGTGTCCTCAGTAACAGTTCTGTGTCCCTCATTAACAATTCTGTGTCCCTCAGTAACAATTCTGTGTCCCTCAGTAACAATTCTGTGTCCCTGAGTAACAATTCTGTGTCCCTCAGTAACAATTCTGTGTCCCTCAGTAACAATTCTGTGTCTGTCATTGAGTAACAATTCTGTGTCCCTGAGAAGCAGTTCTGTGTCCCTGAGTAACTGTTCTGTGTCCCTGAGTAACAATTCTGTGTCCCTGAGTAACAATTCTATGTCCCTGAGTAACAATTCTGTGTCCCTGAGTAACAATTCTATGTCCCTGAGTAACAATTCTGTGTCCCTCAGTAACAATTCTGTGTCCCTCAGTAACAATTCTGTGTCTGTCCCTGAGTAAACAATTCTGTGTCCCTCAGTAACAATTCTGTGTCCCTCAGTAACAATTCTGTGTCCCTCAGTAACAATTCTGTGTCTGTCCCTGAGTAACAATTTCTGTGTCCCTCAGTAACAATTCTGTGTCCCTCAGTAACAATTCTGTGTCTGTCCCTCAGTAACAATTCTGTGTCTGTCCCTGAGTAACAGTTCTGTGTCCCTGAGTAACAGTTCTGTGTCCCTGAGTAACAGTTCTGTGTCCCTCAGTAACAATTCTGTGTCCCTCAGTAACCATTCTGTGTCTGTCCCTCAGTAACAATTCTGTGTCCCTCAGTAACAATTCTGTGTCCCTCAGTAACAATTCTGTGTCCCTCAGTAACAATTCTGTGTCCCTCAGTAACAATTCTGTGTCTGTCCCTTAGTAACAGTTCTGTGTCCCTGAGTAAACAATTCTGTGTTCCTGAGTAACAATTCTGTGTCCCTGAGGAAACAATTCTGTGTCCCTCAGTAACAATTCTGTGTCTGTCCCTCAGTAACAATTCTGTGTCCCTGAGTAACACTTTCTGTGTCCCTGAGTAACAATTCTGTGTCTGTCCCTGAGTAACAATTCTGTGTCCCTGAGTAACGATTCTGTGGCCCTAAAGTCTCTTTGGCCCTAACTCTGTCCCTAATACAGAGAGGTTGTCTCTGTTGAATGACCGGAGGCTAATGGAGAATTGTAAGATGGCCGCAATTTATAGCTCGACCATTACTCAGTGCTGGCTGGCTGGCTGCTGATTGGCTAATGCGATCACATGTCATGAATGAATGCATTATGGGTCAGCGCGCCTTGTCTGCGCACCTTCCCAGAGATCCCCGCTCCGTCGCCACACATGTCGCCGCCATTTTTGGAAAATTTCGATTCGCGCATCCGAAGTCTGCTATATTTCGGATTCGGCGCGAATCGAATTTTTCTTAATTCTTCGAAACGAATTCCACTTCGCCAAGTTCGATTCGCTCATCTCTAGTGGTCATGGTCTTCCAGTTTTTTTTTAATGACTACTATACTGATTAAACAAAAATCAAAAAAATGTACAAAAACATTTTTCGTGTTTGTCCCTTTGGGACAAAAGCTGTGCACTAACGATCAGAATATCAGACGACTGCTCCTCGTATGGAAATTTTCGTATGATTTTCTTATTGTGTGTACAGGCCTTTACATGCAGATAAACAATTTCCTGGGTTTCTCTGCACTGCAGAATTATGCTAATTATTTTCTATCACAGTGTAAGACAGGTGTATCTTGCCTTTCCTCAGAT